CTCAAAGCGCTCATGAAAAAGCATCTTGATCGAGACGTTCAAATGGGAGGTGATCAGGGTCATGACTCGAAAGAAGACGCACGGGCTGCAGGAGATTTGGTTATCTTCAAGGTAAGCGAGATGTGGAAGACCATGAAGCGAGATGGGTGGACGGAAAGGAACACCGAATTCTTTCCGCCTCTGCCCGGTGGTGCCGGTGCTCCTATTTGAGCTAGTTTATTCGGGACCTATGACACTGAGGGGAAGCGTAGGTAGATGACACTATGGTGAATGGTCGTCGTCGCCGTTACGTTCGTTTCTCTTTAAGTGCGACATGCCAGCTGAGCTTGGGAAGTTCTCCGCTGGAAAAGTCTCTTCGAACGGTGGTAGATAGATTCAGTGGTCAACGACCTCAAGGCCAAAACCGTGAAGGCCTGAGTTCATGCTACCACTTTCCCTCGCTCGATTGCACTTGATCAAATCAATTCGCGATTTGTTGTGAACAAGCCAACTACATCCTTCATCTGTTGACAAGGACAACTCTGTCTCCTAGCTGCTTTTGTCACCTCTTCCTTCACGCTTCATTATCTCCACCAAAACTCATGTCCCTCGCTTGGGGGGGACCTTAGAGAATTTAGCAGAGGGGAAGTTCTGGATGCGAAGACACGGAGCCGGCCCTTGACAAGAGGAAGGGCGCTGCACTTGGGTATCAATGGGTGCATGAAGGGCGATTCGGGAGGCAGACGAGTAACCATTCGGAGCTCCCATCATTCGTTCTCAGATGCATCATCTCAGCTGGATGGTCGTAGCCACCACGGCCTTGCTATTGGTAGCCCATCAGTGAAGAAAATGCTCACTCCAGGGCAAGGTCCTCATCTTGTCGGTGGTCATTCAATTGCATTTCCGGACCGGTCGAATGCAATTGCCCGCGGTAGCAGTGCATGTGTCGAGCCGAAACTTGCCCACTGAAGAAGATTTCCTGGCCGTGGTAGCGACTGCAAATTAGTCCGGCTGATGAAAGATTTCCTGGAGCAAGGTTGATTCGAGTCTTGGTGATGTTCTTGACTCTTCGGTTGTCATGCAAAGGCTGGTTCGTAAGGCTGAAGGTGTCAAAGAAAGCTAAAGTAAGGTGCATCTGCCGCTTTAGCGTCAAATGTAGCACGTGGCCTAGACCAAGCGGAACATTAAAGTATTAAAGCGGGATATTAGTTACCTTAGAAATAGAGGGGGGCGGAGATGGTCGTATCTCGGTCTCTCGGTCAAAAACTTGAGGTACTTACTCTACTTTAGCGACATGATCAGCAGCAGCACGATATGACCGGTTGATCTTTCTCTTTCTCTTTCTCTTTTATATTTTTACCATCGCTACTTGAACTTTTTACAATCCCACGTCCGGTCAGTAGCACTTTCACTTTTGACTCGCACTACGTTTCATTAATATTCAAGCTCTTTGATATCTTTGATGAGCATGACTGCTCCCGAAGATAGAAGGTCAGAGCACCAGATTCTCCTCCGTCCCGAGTCGTCAGGTACCGTAGCATGCATGATGCCACCGGATCATCGCTGAGATGATGCGATTAGGGACGGGGGGACGCAGTCGTCGCCCCATTTCGGCAGCCTACTGTACCTTATCTTATGCCAACCGGGACAGGTGCATAAGCTGATCATTCGGCCCTTCCGTCCGTTTCGACTGTCCAGCTTGAGCCAGCCAACCAAATCCCAGATGTCGGGAGATGCGAAGCTGAAGAGTGATTCAATTTAATTGGTTATTTTGGTTACCGATTTAATTGAGTATCGCAAATAAAGAATGGTTTCAAATGAATGTTTTGAAATTACTAGGGGTTTAGTTATAGAGTAGGTATTTTAGAAATAGTATATGGATTACATAGTCGTCTATATAGCCAATCAAGTATCGCCTCCAGCTTCAATTATTTTACCTAGTAACCGAGTGGCGCGTAGTTTCTAATAAGACTATTTCTATGAATATCGAGTCTAACATAGGTTACGACGAAAAGGCTATATATTATTCTGAATAAGATATAAAGAGTGATAATACTGAATAGTAATGTGGAAGTTATGGAAGTAATAGATAGGTATTGAGGTAATTGGAAAGGTGGAGAAGATGCCTGAGAAACACGTCGCTACGCGTACTTAAGTTGGTGTCTATCTTTTCTCCGGCTTATTAATTAGCGGCGACAGGTATAAAGTCTTACTGGCATATAACGCTGTTTTGCATATAAAATACGGTTATAGTGGTGGAAAAAACCATCGACAGCATATGAAACTGCTCCCTTATAAGTCAATTAATTCGGTATTATCCTTGAGTGAATTCAACGTAATCAATGGGTCGCCTCGCTGTAATCTAGGTAGAGTACAATAATAATCGGCCAGATTCCAGGCTTTTCGAAATTGATGTCTTTCGCTCATGTTGGTTGCCCTGTGCCGCTCTGGCTATGGTACCGATGGAACTTGACTTGAACAATCAAATCTACCTCACCCACACACTACCAGTACGAGACCGCTTCCCTCTTCAAAGCAGCAAGAGGCGAGAACTCAACATGACTCCTTCCTTACTCTCCCTTTTGCTCTTGGCTTTTTCGTCTTCTTCTCCTTCTGCTTCTTCTTCCCTGCCCCTTCCTTCTTTCTTCCACCCCGCTGCTTCTAGTTTGATTTTGATACACAATCTTTCCATTGATCCGTCACCACGTGTCCACCCTCTTTCCACCGTAGTCGACGCTTTCGAACCTCTGGAAATTCTCTCTCTATGACTTCATATGGATATGTACAATATTCGCAACAGCTTGTGATCTGTGTCATTGCACTTCATAGCTTTGCGGCCTGACTACAACCCTCTTTCAACGACGATTGGTCTTAGCTCAAAACCGCAACTGCATATAACCTTCACCATGTCCCATACATTAAGTCTCAAAGAGCTTCATGACCTCGAGACTACAGAGCGTGTCGCCTCCTGCTTTTCCCTCATTGGAACTAGCGTCATTCTCTTCACCTTCATCTACTCACCTGCCTTCCGGAAGCCTGTCAATAGACTGATATTCTACGCATCTTGGGGGTACGTACACCCCTCAGTCTCTTCTGCCACCCTTCCAAACGTGGAATTGCAACACATGCTGTGGCCCCGCTCACTCTCGAACATGCTCTCACCCCTCGAGTCTTTTCCAAGACGAAAGCATACTAACCTCCCATAATTTTGGTAGAAACACTCTGTGCAATGTCGCAACACTCGTGTCACAGTCGGGTATACGTGCGGGGAGGGACTCACATCTTTGCCAGTTCCAAGGCTTCCTCATCCAGATGTGAGCGCTTCAATACCTGGGGCCTGAGGTGTATGTACTGAATTTGTGAAAAGGTTCCTACCAGCAGACGCGTAAGGCCTTTTTCGGAGTTGTATTTTCTTGTTTTTGATACTGCGTTCGCAGTCACGGGACATGTTCCTGGAGCAAGCTACTCATCTTGCCACGAGTTATGACAATCTCAACATGTCTCGTGACGCGAAAAGCTATCTTGGAGTATGGAGCACTGACTCCGAAATGTGCTAGTCTCTGGAATCTGGCTATGGCTATTAATGTATACATGACGTTGTTCCGCAGGTACAATGCCCAACAGCTCAAGGCATTGGAATGGCGATACCACTGTATGGTACGTATCTATGTCTCTTCTTTTGGATCAAATCCTGAGTTTTGAGCCGTGTCTTTGAAAGATGTACTCTGTGAATGTGTCCCAAGGCTCGATATACCCCCTTTAATAAGCAACACTGACCCCGATATTTCAATCAGTGCTATGGAGGACCATTCATAATTGCCTTGGTCTACATTTTCATTGAGACTCCATCTAAAGGAAAAATCTACGGCCCAGCCATGCTTTGGTGTTGGATCGACATCGAATGGGTCGCTCTCAGAATCGCACTTTGCTATGCCCCAGCATGGTAAGCAGCCCTCCCCGTTCTCCAAATTTCTCTTACTAATCGAATTCCAGGTGCTGTATCTTGATCTCATTCTGCATATACGTCCTCGCGGGACGTGAGATTTTCGTCAAACGCAGACAGCTCCGCGCTTTCACCAAGTCAACTCGACCGGTGCCTGTGCGAATTGAAAATTCTTTCACCAGCTTTAAGACAACCGAGATCCAGATTACGAGCGAATTGGCCACACTCCATTCACCCAACGTGTCCAATCTCTGTTCTATGCCGGACAAAGAGAATCCCAACATGAGTGGTAAGGGTTATGACCAGTACTCTGTGACTATTGGCTCAGCTCCAATGAGCCCGTCATCTGAAGCGCCATCACCCAAGACACCGAGGGCGCATTCGACCATCGCGCAGCGAAATCACCGGGCGACTATGGAAGCGAACAGGGCAGCGTTCGGATACACAAAAGTAGCGCTTCTCTTCTTTGTCTCATTGCTTGTCACATGGGTAAGCTTCCACACGGCTCCTTGAAAACAGGCTCAAGTAACCCACCCGGCTCACGAAACCACAGGTCCCCTCTTCAATCAACCGAGTCTCTTCCCTCCTCCACCCCTCCCTGGTCTCCCTCCCTTTCACCTACGCCTCCGGCATCGTCCTCCCCTTGATGGGCTTCTGGAATGCCGTCATCTACATCACAACCTCCTGGGCCGCCGTGCGATTGCTGTTCAACGGTAAGCTGAACAAGAATAATGGGCCGGTGAAGAGGAGCTCCATCGGCCTCAGTAGCTGGCCGAGCTTAGGTGCGAGGAAGTGGACGGGGGCAGAGAGTGATAGTGTCAAAGGGCTGGCGGTGGGGCACAGGAGTCGATATGATCAGGTGTGACATGGCTGGATGCATGGGCTAGGGCCGGGACGAAAACGCGTTTGGAAATGAACATGACTCGCAAGGCGGTCGTGGAGGCTTGGAAAGGGAGGGCATGAGATAGCCTGTGACGAATACTGTAAACTTTGAATTTAAGGCGGGCTATTTTTACAACTCGGATAGGTCATATGGGCGAAACGAGATCCCAACCTCCCAGACTTACACTGCCGGCCTCTACACAATGGTCACGCCCCCACTCGAAATATACATAGGCGCAATGTTCATACTCCCAAGGGACCCAACAGCCCAATTCCCTGCGTCCTGCGTCACGGCCGTCTTGTTGGCGAAGACCGTGAAATCCTTCACGACGAAACCGCCAACCCCGACCGGGTCCTTGCGCGTCGCGTCGAAGAACTGCGGCAACTCGCTCTGTGCGATGGCCGTGACGGCGGGCGAGAACTCCTCGATCCAGAAGTTTTCCATCAGGAAGCTGTCGAACGTCTCGAGCGGGCAGATGCGGAAGAGACCGCCGCTGATGCCTTCGGAGCGGAAGTTGGCAAAGGTCACGTTGGCGGTGTAGGGGTCGGTCTCGTCGGGCTGGGAGTAGAGCTGGTTGAGGCCGACGAGGGACGGATGGCTGCCGTTGGAGGGATAGCGCGAGTGGACGATGTCGACGTCGGCGACGCGGATGTTCTCGAGGGTGAGGCACGCCCAGCCGAACTGCACCGTCGGGGCCGTGGGGCCCTTCCAGACGGTGACGCGTTCGATGGTGACGTCGGAGTGGTAGGTCTTGATCGTGTCGTCGTTGGAGTGGTAGAACACGTCCCGGACCGTCGACCCCGGGTAGTTCTCCAACCCGTCCGTCTGCCCGAAGAAAGCGCCGACTTGCTTGTAGTCTGACACCTGCGTCGAGAGCGTGGCGAGGTTGCCGGTGAAGTCCATGGAATTGAAGGGCGGGGCGTTGATGGTGACGCCGTTGAGGATGAAGGTCTGCTGGTCGTCGGAACTCACGCCGCTCCACATTCTCAATCCGTTTTGGTTGGATTGTTCGTTGCAGTAGCCCGCTTCGATGTTGGCTTGATAAACGTACTGCTCCCCTGAGAGGACGCCGTGGCCGGTGGCCTTCATCGTTGGGGCGGTAGTGTTGAAAGAGACGGCGCCTTTCACGTATGCGCCTGGAGCGAAGTAGACCCAATCGACGCTACTGCTCAGCGCCAAATGTGCAACGCTGGAGAGCCAGTATACCCCCGGGTTAAAGATCACCGTGGTCTTGTCCGTCGTATGCACATCCGTGACCAGGCCAGGTTCTACCACGAGAGAGGTCGGCGAAGTCTGTTCGGGAAGCATATCGGGCGCTGGGAAAGGGCTGGCAAAGATCAATAGAGAGTTGAGAGGCTCAATGCCAACGACAGGGTTTCCACTATCGAAAGGTCCTTGCCAATACGATTCACCGGAGGGATTGGTGTTCTGCACGAGACCGCCTAGAAGGATCTTAGAATTAGCATCTTCCCTAGGACAAGGCAACATTTCAAGTCAAAAGACCAGTCTAATTGGGATGATTGGGCCAAAAGATGTCTTGCAACCCGACGTGGTGTTCAAATCAGGAAAAACTGATTTCAATTGTTGCTTACCCACAGTGCAAGAAATTGCGCAATTGCTGTGGAATTCGTAAAGATTGTCCGTGAACTCGACCGAGAATCGTACTCCCCGACTGTTGTAAGGCACCGTGATGTAGAGATCGCCGTTGACCTCGGTCTTTGCGTAATCAAGAGTGGTAGGATGGATAATGACGTTGCTTGCAGCGGTGCTGCCGCCATCCAGGCGAGAGATTTTAACGGAAACATCTTCACTGTACAAGAATGACGTCCAGGCCATCGTCATACCAATAGCAGCTTCAATGGTAATGCCATCATCATTCGTGCTCAAGACTGTGGGTTCGAGCGGGTTGATGATGTTTCCCATGCCATTGCGAGGAATACTTTCGTAGACGAAAGAATCATAGTAGTTGCTTGGATCGCTGGTGTTGCTTGAGGTACTCACTTGGACGGAGTAGTTGCCGGACTGGCGGACGTTGCCATCAAGCACTGGGGTCTGAGTGTTATACTCACCGGTGCTGTGCCACCACGTATGGAGGCTGCTACTACTTGTAGTACGATTGACAGACACAGACACCGCACCAACCAGTGGCAAAAGAAGCGCTCCCAGAATGGTGGGCGCAAACATACTGAAAAGCTTTTTCTAGTCCCTTGACAGGTTTTGGAATGATTGTAATGACTGAAGTGCTCGGATCTCCTGGAAAAGGAATGACGATAGTTGGTAGATTCCAAACAAAAATGGTATACAAGTGAGAGGTCAAATGATCGCGAATGCGACAGGAGAATATAGAACGAATCCCAAAAACGGAGAAGTAAAATAGAAAAGAAGACTGATAGGCAGATCAACTGCAAAAGAGTGAATATAATCAGACAGCGACATTAAAAAAAAGGAAAATGGCAAGCCAAAGTCTGGATATAAGCGGGCTTGAGGCTCTGGGAGGCATCGGCCAACACATACAATTTGAAGGGGGCAAGGAGTGGAGATTGGAGTTAGCAGTTAGCAGTTAGCAGGACACTTGAAAAGACTTGGGTTGACAGCGTGTCGGGGAGGCTGGAGCGTTGAACTTTGACGTCTGACATGGAGTGCTCGAAATTGCACCAGGAGGCCTTCGGTCCATTCATTGTTTCATTTGCCAAATCCTCCCAGGCATCATCTCTCATTTGCCTTGGAGGCTGTGAAGTTCTTGACGCACATGGACAATGGTAGTGACAATCCTCGTGGATGCATACAATCACTATTGCTTGAAATCATTTGTGCGGGAAAATACTTGAGATGCGAAGAAGAAGATATTCAAACAGTCAAGATACGGTAGGTACTCGAAAAGCAGGTTCCTAATCTGAAACATTTAATCTGCCAAGGGACTAGGCTCTTGCCGCCGCTAAGATTACTCGTAAAAAGCTTGTTCAAATATGTGCTGGGGCGCGGGGCTACCCAGTAGTGGAAAACTTGCCGAGGATGTGAGAAGACTGAGAAGACTGAGAAGATTACTACTGCATAATACCAATTCTATTAAGGGGAGACCCCCTAAACCCCCCTACCCTCCGGGGGCTCTCCGAGGGCCCTCCGGGGGCTCCTACCGGAGGGGCCGTCCTCGCAAGCTCGAAATTATTTACATAAAGCCCATTTTGAGATCGGTATGGGGTCGTCCGCTTCGTCAAGATCATAACTATAATCCCCCTGAAGAAATTTCTTACAACGATCATCAATTATAAACCGAAGTTGCTTATGAATAGCCTTAAGATCTCTACGCCGAATCGCCGTACATAATGAAGTCTCGAAGTCAAGTTAATCCTTAATTTGAGGCTAACCGACCGCTATACACTGATCTTCCACAACGTAAAATACGTAATCTAAGGCGTCTTGTAATTCGATACTAATAGACCCTTATAAGAATCGCTCTTCTTGAAGACGTATCTAATGTACGAGATCATCACACAAATCCTCGGCAACCTCTCGTTGAAGATGAAAACGACTTGTTTCGGCTTTTTCGTGAACGCGTTTTAGAGCGTCAAGACCTTGATTTTTCCGTAGATGTGTATTGTAAACATCGAATATAGGGCGTTTGATATCGGGGTCTGGAGTACCGGGCTTGAAGATATCTATTTGCGTCTCGATAATACGTATAGAATTGATGCCTTCGAGAGTAGTTTGGGGAAGATTTTGAGGTGTCGTAGGCTGAGGTTGAGATTGTAATGCGATATCGCACGAAGGTAATCGACGTTGCTATCGACTTTGAGCTTTTCTCTGAGATCGTAGCTGATTTTGAGAGTGTAACTGTGAGAGAGCGCGCTCGGTATTTTGTTTTTGATGATTCTTTTGATGCCGATTTGCAGTACGTCGAGCTGCAGAGGATGCGAGGCCAAAGTTAAGAATTGATTGAGACATCTTATAGTAGGGATAGAGACAGAGAGAAATAAAGAAAATTTGAGAAAATTTGATGTTTCTGGCTAAGATCTACTAAATCCTTAGTTACTTCCTAATAAGGTAAGAGTTTCCTAGAATGGTCTTACAGCGAGGCTTGGTATAGAAGTGATTTTATTCTTGAGCTAGGGAGAAAGCAAGCTTTCTAATAATCACTTAATCCTATAATAATGATCAAAACCCGAGAGAAATCTTGTCGAATCCATCAAACTCCGGTAAATTTGCGCCTGCGCTTGCCTGCTCCCTACCCTCTCCAAAGCGCCGTCTACTATCTATATTGACAATTCCCCATCCACCTTATCCACAAGCAGAGCCTTGAGCGTCGGCGTATCCTGTACAATCGTCATGTTCACTATCTTCCCAACCAAGAGAGTAATCAATAGGATGGCATGGATCATCGCTGACCCATGCCACCGAAGCGGCGGGTGGCGTATAGGTGCTTGAAGCCAGAGCAAGCCCCTTCCTGCCCCGAGTTTGCTGCCACCCCCGCAACAGTAATCGTGCACTGCAACTCCAGCTACCGCTTCGGCGGTGCCCACACCGCCGACCGAGTAGAAGTCTTGAAGCTCGATGTAAGCGTAAGGTGAATAAGGGGTTGAACGTCGGTGTACCACTCTTGGCCTGTTATTGCTGCTTACCATTCGGTTCGGTGGGATTTTGCTGGCAACGCCGACAAGCGCAAAGATTCCGACCCGAGGTTGTTTTTTGAAAAAAAAGTTGGGGTGAGCAAATTGACCAGCGTTATCAGTGGCTTCTGTACTCGGGCTTTCACTCTTCTTTCCCACCCTATGATTTAGCGGGAGGGGTGTAATGCGGCAGGTGGTTGCAAAAGCGCTTCAGGAGATGCTCGGTCTCGGACGAGCAGGTACTAGTACAAGGTGCATATCGTGTAGGCAACGCGTTTAAGATACAGAAAGCAAGTGTTGCAGTGACTAATACTTCTGTGAATACATACTTGCACCCTATGGCCGACTTTGACCGCAGCAGCAGTAACGAGATTGCTTACCTAGCAAGATAGTAAGAAGCGCTTATTGGGGTATCTACCGATCAGCCACCAGCAAAATAGACTCCTGACGCTATGCACAATGAGCCTTCATGCGAACGTGAAGGTCTTCAACGATCAACGCTTCCTCTTCCCATGTTCTTTCTTCTGCTCCTTGATGAGAAATTCATCACTTTGCAAGTCCAGCTTGCCACGGAGAACACTCAGGCTGATGATGTCTTTCACATAGGCTCTCCAGCCTAGCCTCTGAAGCTCCGCCACCTCGGTATTGTCGTGCGTTGCAACGACAATTGTATTCTGCTCTGGACTCTTCTTGATTAGTGCCGAAGAGACGCTCCTGGCACCCGCGCACTTCACGATCTCCTTGAGCTCATCGAATCCGTTTTTGCCAAGTTCCTTCCTTGCAGATGGCGTGAAAAGTACTGTCTGGTCCTGCAAAACCCTGAGACCTTGCTTTCCCCTATAGATCGCTTCATCGAGAGAGATTCCCCAGTCGGCCTCCTTCTCAGGATCTCGTGCAAGGTAAGGCACAACACTCAGCAGATCGTTTCCCTTAACACTGTCGGTAACCCAGCGGTCGGTGATAATATCTTTGCCTAAAAGCACAGCTAAAATTACCTTGCTGGTTTTCTTGAGCTCCTTACCGACGCACAAGAGAGTGCAGTCGTGCACCGACTGGACTTTCTTAACTCCTTTCTGTGACAGAAATCGCAGAAACGGCTTCGAATCTCCGGCTGAACTTGAGCTCGCAAAACAGATACGTGCTCCCGCGTCCGTGGATGACGAGATGTTAAGCTCATCTCGAGCCGTAGATCTAGTACTCCTCATCGAGCTGCTTGGCTCGACCGAATTAGAAGGAGATGCTGAGGCCGTGTTATTGTCGGAGAAAGGAGTCCGAGGATTTGGTCCAGTTGGATTGAACGATGATTCTGACGGCGGTTGATTGGCGGGGTGAGGCAGTGAGTCTGAATCAATGGGGGGACTAAAGTGCTTCAATCCTGTCGAGGGAGTAAGAGGCCTTTGTTTGGGTTGATTTGCGGAATGAGAGAGGGGTCCTGTATTGATTGAGGGCGTCAAAACTGTTGATGATGCCTGATCGGCAGAGACTGGACGATCTGTTGAGGCGGGGACTCCTCTTTTGACGGATATTACTTCATTTTGCAGACTGTCCTGACTCTCATCAACCAGGGCCTCACGGGAGACTGTCGCGGTTTTTGTCTTCTTGCGGGCTCGTGTATCATCAAGATTGTCATCCAGTTGCGGGCTTGAATCCAGAGCCGCTTGGAGGATGGACGATCGAGCCAGGGCTTCAGGTCGTCTTTCTGGCTGCACTCGCGCAACGGATGATGACAAAGACTTCGACCCTGCCAGGAGCGGTGAATGGCTTGAAGCTCTAGTTTCTCCTGCTGGACGCACTCGCACCACTGGCGAAGATATAGGCTTCGACTCTTCTAGAATGGGTGAACGGTTTGAGCCTCCTTCTGGATGCACTCGTGACTTGAGTGATAACAGCGGCTCTAAATTTTCAAGATGCTCGCTCTTAAGATCTACACTCGCAATTTTCGCGTCCTCGAGGTCCACCACACCTTGGTCCAGCGGCCTTGCAGCGTTTGCATCAAAATAAGGCTGGTCTTCGGTCTTGACATGGGGCTGCGAAATCGAAGGATCAGGCTCATTGATCGCTGCATCAGCCATGTGCTCGTCTTCTTTCTTGATGCTAGGCTGTGAACTAGAGTGACCATTTTCACTAGCGTCTCGCACTGTTCGCATGACCTCGCGCTTCAAAGGACTCCCCGGCCATTTTTTACTGTCTTTCCTCCCCGAGACTGCCTGTCCGGTAATCTGCTCGAGGATAGGCGTGAATTTGTCAGACTCATGTTCTCTGCGCGGCATAGGAGTTTCAATGACGGCAGGACCCACTCTGGCGGTACGTTGTGGTGTGCTAGTGCGATTGACTTGATAGTTGTAACTCTCGAAATTAGTGGTAGGCAGGCCTGACGAGTTGATTGGGAGATCGCTGTGTTCCTCAGGAACAAGATTTAATGTTGTCTTTCCGATATTGAAGGACTGACCAGGAAGGAGCTGCAGCGTTGATATACTGCCAGAAGTAGAAGGCCGAACATTTATTCCGGTATGGGCAAATGCTCCGTCAAAGTTGCGTCCAAGTGACTCTATGGATATGTCTGGGGTGAGTGCTTCAAGAAAAGCGAAGCCATTTTGGGTGTCTGAAGGCATTGTTAGCTTTAACGGACCTAGGTATGTGGAGTGATTATATCTGACGTAGTATCGCCAAGGACCCGGACCCAGGCCTGGTCTCACCAATTTCGAAAAGCTCGAATTCTTCTTCGATGTGACTACCTAAGAGATTTGGGCCGTGAAGAACGTATTTGAGGACAGTGTCATCAAGGCTCAGGTCAATGAATGTGAGATTGGCAGGTTCGCCGCGGATGTGTTGCCTTAGGCAGCATTTCTTCGAAGACATACTGCTGGGGATTCTGTCGATGCATACTTGCAACACAAATCAATTCAAGTAGGGTACTTGTATCAAGGACTGAAGTAAAGTGTTTAAGGATGCGGATTTGTCATATGACACGTGACGTCAGGTCAGACATACTCGGTCATTTGACAGTCATATATAGCCAAATGACCGCACTGCAAAGGGCTTATAGTAATACGAAGCGTAAGATTCGAGGGAAACGATACCTTAGAATTCAGATGTATTTAGGGCTGAAATGGGGTATTACTAGTGATATCCTACCGAGCTAAGGATAGATAACGCCAAGCCTCAATTTACTACGCGTCTTTGTTAGCCTTATATCTTTCACGGTTAGACACCTATTGTATACGGAGGTCTGCACCGAAAGTCCTGCACCCGCCAAGACTCTTGCGCTCAGACTTCGGATAACGCCCCACCTAAAGGGTTACCTAGACAATACGTCTGGAGTTCTTCGGAATCGCACCTAGCCCTAGCCAGGTTTCGGGGCTTACTGCCCCTATCAAGGCTAAAAGAAGTACCTTAAGTCTCATCATGCGCTGTGAGAAGATATTTTTAGGCTTCCCCTCTACAGGGCCGCTTTCCGAAAGTAGGGTTAGGGCTGCACTAGTGCGGGTGCAGGACTTTCGGTGCAGACCTCTATACGGTTAGCGCTGTCATTTATCAGGTCAAACGGCCTAGTTGTTAGGGGTATTTAGTTCGTATTAGGTTCGATTCCTAATGGCGCTGGTACAATGGTGTTGCGGTGCTTTTTATGTTCTGGCCTGTCACCGTATTACCGTCACGTAACTGTCATAGGGGTCAAATGTCAGTCATTACGCATCCCTAGAAGTGTTGAGCTTCGAGGATTGTCATCATTCGGGTATTGTACTCGTAGTCCGCGCTAGCACGTGAGCCAAGGTCTTTACTTTACGGTTAAGGCTGGATACCTCTACGATGACCTTGTTGTGATAAAGAAAGCTGGGCTAGAAAGATGTAGAGCTTGACAGTATCTACAATCCATACAAGTACAATCAAAGTTTCCTTTGCAGATTGGCCGCGCGCGAGATAGATATTCCAGTGCGTGGTTGAAATCAGCTAGCGCGAGCCACGCTGCCGCTGCAATCTGCTTCAACCATCGACATGTCTAAGAGTCTAGCACTCCTCTAGCCGTGTACAATCGAAAGAATCAGGCCAAGCTACTGTATATCCGCGTTGGCGAATCTATTTAGCTTTCCTGAAGCAGAATTAATGTGCTCGAAAGTGTGAGTCTTCCATCGGCTGTGGTTTTCGGTGTTCCAGGAACAATACTAAGGATATCTTATTGGCACACGTCCGACTCAGTCTGCGTCCACTTGGCTTTGCTGCAATGATTCAGTAGCTACTGCTTATGGACCACCTTCCCAATTGCGTTCCTGTTGTCGTGACGATGATTTCGGTTTGGATATGGCGGGCCTGTCCTTGCCTGTCAATTCACAGCTCTCGTTTGAATGTTATTTCCCAGAGAAAGATGAATATCGAGTAGCCGTGGCAGCTCAAATTGTTCCTCAAAAGTGGAGATATTCAACCGGCTAGTACATGCGTCATCTTAGTATTATAGTCCAAGAATATGACCCATTCAACATCTTCGAGCATGACAATACTAAGGCTCGATCACTCCTCCACGGTACAGGTCACAGGTTAGTTTTGTTACTTATATCCTCTTCTCTTTACAACTCAGATACTCTTCTCTTTACACCAATCAATCCAGACAAGCTCAGAACTGCCAGACAGCATCTTGATCATACAGATCTCGTCTTTCTAACTCTCTCTGTCTCCCACACACGCACACATCCTCTCCGATTTCCTTCATACTCGACAGCGCTCCCACTACACATACCTCAAAGGACTCACTGAACACCTCACTCCATTCGTTATGGCGGCAGCTACGCCATTCGATCCATATAGCCAATCATTCACGCTACAGGCGAGCGACGGGACACTCTTCAATGTCTCCATCCCTAATCTCGACTATTTCGTCAACTACAACACTCAGATCTGCATCAACTATGGTGCCCAGACAGGAGCCTCAATCATCCTTCTCGCCGTGCTCCTTCTCCTCACCAAGCCAGACAAGCGTGCCTCTCCCATATTCATCGTCAACGTCTCATCGCTAGCTCTGAACATTGTACGGAATGTTCTCCAATGCCTGTACTTTACTGGCCCTTTTACGGAAACATACGCTGTCTTCAGCGGGGACCACTCGCGGGTCCATACTGGGGATTACGCAACGTCCGTCACTGCCACAGTCTTCACCCTGCTCGTTCTGGTATGCGTCGAGATTTCTCTGTGTCTCCAAACACGCGTGGTATGTGTCACAGTGCGCCAGCTCTATCGCAAAATAATCTTCGCAGCCTCCGTTGTGATCGCATTATTGGCTATCGCCTTTCGACTGGCTCTTTGCATCGAGAACTCCATAGACATCGTGCAGGCGAAGGTTGATGGGCCTCTACAACAGTTAGCAAGTGCCACGAACATTACAGAATCCATCAGCATCTGCTGGTTCTCCGCAGTCTTCGTCACAAAACTTGCTCTCGCTCTAAACGAGAGGAGGAAGCTAGGTTTGGTTCAGTTTGGTCCGATGCAGATCATCTTCATCATGGGATGCCAGACTCTTGTCGTTCCAGGTCAGCAAGACAGTATCCAAAGCCCAAGTTCCAAGCTGACCTTTATCTTAGCGCTCTTTTCAACTCTTCAATATGCCGTCAACAATCCAGCTTTGTATTCCAACGCCCTCACGTGTGTGGCGATCTTTCTACCCCTTTCATCACTGTGGGCTTCAGCTTCCCTCGACAGCCGATTCCAAGCATCCAAGGAACAACACTACGGTAACAAGATGGTCCCGAGCTCCCTGTCAGCTAGTACCGGGCGTCCAGATGCTAGGACCATCAACGGTCCCCTTAGCCCAACAAATACGGAGAATACAGGTACTAGTGGTTCTGGTGCACGCAGCCCCCAAAACATTGGTCAGCGTCAGGCACTCAGAGATCTTGAAGCTCAGGGCATGGTCGATACTGGTGACTTTAGGGTCCAATAGTAAAGTTGAGGATGGGGTGCAGGGGCTCGATGCTTGAAAATCAAGGGGTATTGGCTCACACAAGGCCACGGAGGCGATGGAATCGTCATGTGGGGGATTGCTTCTCTGGTCTTCCCGTGCATAGCACTTTATTCTAGATTATCTTCCTCCGTGAGTTCAAGTACTCATCGTACAACGGTGTTAGCTCATTGCCCGCATCAGTCAATCACGGTCAAGAAAAACCAATTGGTTGAGAGCACGTGGAAAGTGGTGTGACAGCGTTGCCCGCAGTTATTGGACAGTCATGTCCATCGCGTATAATAACTTTGCAACATCCCCCCCAACTTCCGCAATGTCCACTCCTACACTCGCTTTCAAGCAGGGAACTCGGATCTTGACTGCACCAAAGTACAATACTATCAAGCAGAGAGGCCTTGTCGTTGATGCCCGATGAGTACAACATACTTGATCTAGCTCATGATATCCGGCGAATAAGACGCTGTATCCGGCCTTTTTGCTACAGATGATGCAAGTGCACTGACCAGCACCGGTCAGCCGAGCCTTTCCTCATGCACACACGTTCGCTATTCGCCACAATGATTATGGAAATGCGAGAGCCTCAGCCCCTCGCATATCAGAAGATCTATAAACTATTCCAAACTTTGACTTGCATTCAACGGCGGGCGGGTAGGGTAGGCCTGTTAGATGGTTTCTGAAGCAATAAAGTAATTGTGTGGTTTGGGGTTGGTGTGTCAGGTCTTTAAGGGTGGTGAGGGGGCAGTGAGAACGGGTGGGGCAAGTGATTAGCGGGCTGAGCAATTTTTGAGCTTTTGATTGGCAAGGATGATGGTGCAGGCAGGCAGACCCATGACCCGAAGACCCCTGCAGCAAAAGCCACGGCAAGCTTGATAGCGGCGCTGTGGCCTGTAGAGTACTGCACTCACTCGAGTCACTGCGGATGATCGACTCTTGCATCGATCAAGAGACTAATTCATTCTATTTCCATCCAAAAATTCATACATCCCGACTTCTGCACTCCCATTCGTGCTCATCCCCAAAGCAATATAGGAACATCATTCACGCATTTCTCTGCTCCATCAAAACTTTCTTGCTCAGAGTCAGCAAGTTGAGAGGAATGAGCAGGGCTCTCATTAGACATTCGTTGCTTCGAATTGCCACCACACCGTCTTCGGCAACTTGCGTCCAAGGTGCATATCATGATACGCGCTCTATAATTGACCTCAAGGCTTGAAACTTCTCCGGAATGCTACTTGGCTGCTGGCCGAATGTATGCACGGCCATCGATCATCTAATTAATCCATTTCGCCAGCCTCTTTCACTTGCATCTCTACTCATTCACGAGGGTGATTCTTAGGGGATCCCTTACCTCAAACTATGCGCGTCAGGCCTGACGACTTCGTACCGCATGCTTGACCTTCACCACATCTCAATGCGACTCTGCTGTTACGATGGCCGAGTCCGTGAGCGCCAACAGCCAGACTGAGACCTCTCCTTTGACAGGACCTAGTAGCTTTGGCAGTGTTATTGACGCCCAAGGACTCCAGACTGTGCATGAGCTTCCTCGAAACCAGGACAATGGCTCGCTCGACAATCGATTGCTCTCGAAAAGACAGCCTCCTGGCGACCTTCGTGATGCCAGTCCTGATAGCTTCCTCGGACGAACCTACTCTGAAAAGCAATTGGAAGCATCCCCTCGACGCCTTCGCCATACTGCTCCGGCACATGCAGCCCCGGAAGCATGGCAACGGGCAAAGGATCCGTCGATTCCACTGCGCAACGGGAATTATCGCGACACGAAAAGGGAGAGCACTTCGATGCAAACGCCACCAAAGAAAGAAAGGAAAGCCGGGTTCAGGAACACCCTGCGTCGGATGTTTACAAGGCGTTCTACAAGGGATAGGATTAGCATGCCCAACCCTACAGTGTACCCTCGACATGTAAGAGCTTCAAGAATTCACTTCGAAGAACAACATTGACTTCTAAGTAAGGATCCGGAAGAGTTTATAACCTCTGCAACCGACGTCCAGGCAAAGCGCTCTGCCTCTGTACCGATCAACGGCGTCCTGCGTACCAGTGGCCTGGGGTCACACCCGCCATTTCAAACCATCTCCAGCCCAGTTGGCGCTACAAGTAATGACGTTCCAAGCAATGATATCATAAGCAGCGACGATACATGCGACGAGGCTACGAGAAAGCCGATTCCTCCGCAACCAGAGCGTCTACCGCCAGAGCGGCCAGCTCGACCCCGACGTGCTAGTGTCCCAAGCGTGATCCTAAATAGGCCAGAGGTCCAGGAAGTAGAAGCTGCAATCACAGGTCTGGGCCTCCAAACCAACGAAGAACAGCCTGTTGATGCGCACAACATCGGCTTTGCAGTCACAAATGGTAGTAACCCAAAGCGAAGATCGCGGTCCGTGGGTGCGTTTCGCGACACGGAGCATCGCATGTCTCCCATACAGTGGAGGCGGTGGCGTAGGAGAAGTGATGAGATTAAGTACTGGAGGCAAAGTACCGATATGGGCTCTCTAGGCATCCGGAGCTTTGAGTCACCAGAGCTGGGACAGAAACACGACGTTGATGCCGCAGACAACGACGATGGCAATCTCGGCCAGCACGGCGAAGAATTCAATTTCGGTTTGCCAGCCGACGCCATGCAAATTCAAGAGCGAATAGGTCTAGAAGAGAGAATCGTCACATTAGAGATCAAGCTCATGGACTTTGAATACGCCATCTCAAAGCTGCAAGCAGGCTCCACGTCGCCCTCGAGACGTCACTCTGAACGCATTGAGATGGCCGGACGCCAGAACTCAGTTGACAGCTATCTCTCGTCCGATTACCGACAAGCCCCCATTGAAGCGTCGCCAGCTTTGCCACAAGCGACACCACCTGCGAGTCCTTCGAAACTTGGTTACGAAACCACCCCACAACAGCGCCCAACAAGCGTTGCGACGACCCTAAAAGCCGGAGCCTCGGGCCCATACACGTCAGCACATAAAGGCTCAATAGACCGTAGCACTCGCACTAGCCTGACAGGTCTCACAATCGAACACTATACTACCCTGATAACTCTGATCCGGCACGAACAGTCGTCTCGTGTCCGGCTAGAGCAACAGGTCTCGATGCTGCAACAGCAACTTGACCGCATCGCTCCTTCCCACTCTTCGCATTCTCACGCACACTCGGTGTCGCAGCATTCGCATTCTCGTTCACTCTCCTCCCAACAACGGAGACAAGGCTTTGTGGACGTAGGGAACAGAGGCGGTCACTACAGGCAGTCGCGCCCGAGGTCGAGTAGTTATAGTACTAATGAGACAGACACGGATGATGACATATACCATGATGTTTACGTTACACCGGATATCACTCCGGTGGAGAGAGGAGAATATGAACGAGGGGCATTTGAGCGGGTAGCCGGCGTTGAAGAAGGCATGGCTTTTTAACAAATGAAGCTGATTGCGGAAGCAAGTTCAAACGCCCAACTAAACCAAAGACCTGCGATTCCTTCTTCAATAAGTGGAGGAGATTAGGGCGAGGTGCTGGACATCTCCTATATACGCAGACTCGCAATATGGGTGAGCCCATGGATCTATATATTTTTTGCAATGGAGGCTAGCGATTCTTTTGACGTACCTCATGATCTCTTCTCCTATTGTGCATGGATGGTTCAATGAGAGCATGCGGAGTTGGTGTACTTTTATTCTGACGGCATGATTGATTTACCAGCAAGATTTGCCGATGTGCAATCGGCCAGCTTGTTGGGGGACGAAGTGTACGAATTATTGATGGGTATGAATAGGCAGCTTCCAGTAGTCTGAAAAACAGGCTTCTTGGTCGGATCGGGGCCTTTTGGATTCATGTATTGTAATACAACCCATGGATGATTCTTCGTTGACCACCATCCAAATTTGGACATCGGTCCTGTACATCACGATTCTATATAAAGGAGTCATGCAGATGACCTCTGATCATTCGCCAGGAACGGCCTTGACATGTTCGGCAAGAGTTTTGCCTCTAAGATGTACATATGCCTCTGGTTCCACGGGTCTTATCCAGGGCCGATTCTAGGCCTAGGTAGAAAAAGAAAGGTCAGCACCGTTGTCTCTTCCTTCCCTATTCAAGGAATTCGCAGTAATTGCCCCATCCCCATCATGGTAAGAAGTAGAAAAGATATACTTACATATCATGATGCTCACTCAGATTGCTGAGGTAGCGGTTCAGTTCTTCCACACGCTCTTTGTGCGTCTTGGTGCCTTCGCGCTTCAGCCGCTCGTCGAGCTAGAGCACCAGTGTTAGCCAAAGGTCTCCGTATAGATAAGTGGTAAGGGCAATATGTGGAAATAGCACACCCTTTTCCGTCTACGCTCCTCATGCCTGAGCTCCGCTTCTGTCTTTCCTGCTCGCACCGGCGACAGAGCCTCGGCCTCCTCGGATGCCTGTTGACTCTTGTCTACAGTAGCGTCATCGTGTTCGTCCTTGACATCGTCGCCATGATCTGTTGCCCCATCTTTGGACTTCTCCGCGTTGGCATCGGCGGAGGATTCAGGTTGGGAGGGTTTCGGACGCTTCTTTTTGTGGGATTTGGAGACTTTGGAGGATGAGGCGACACTCTTGAGCTTCAAACCACCAGAGACTGCGGCGGTGTAGTCGTCCGCCGGCATTGCTCTAGGTATGTTGAGAATGGCGAAGTGGGATACTAAAAGGTAATTGGCCGATTTGGATCTACAAATAAGGCTGAAATCTGGGGTAAAACTGCAGGGATCATATCGCGTCCAGCGCCCAGTAGAGCCCAGAACCCCTTGCCGGCGTCAAGTCTATATGAAGACTTCTCGCATTGCGCGAGATACTGCGAAGGTCGCCATCTCTTTTTCTCAAGCCGACTACGCCCCAAGACGACAGACAAGGGCTTTCGCAGCGTCGCTGCAGGCTTTCACTGCCAATGGAGAGGTGCCCCTTCCCAGCCCAGGAAGGAATGGGGTGAAGCGCGAAGATACAAGCGATGATGATTCCCTTTCCACTTTGGCTTCGGTATTCGACATCGAAGATGTTCCATTTGAATCGTCTACCTCAAGGAAGCGCAAAAGGGGTCTCGGCAGCCCATCTACAGCCATCACCACGAAATCTACATCTACAAGCACGCGCAATTCGCCTCGCAAGCCAGACCTGACATCCGAAGACGGTACTGTGGGGAAACTCAAAAAAGCAAAACGTCAGCCGGCGAAACGAATTGTTAATGAAGCAGGAGAAGCGAAGATAGAGGCCCCGGCAAACTGGGAAGAAATCTACGATGCTGTAAGAGAAATGCGGAAAGAGAGGCTGGCGCCTGTTGATACCATGGGCTGCGAGATGCTTGCCGAAGAGCATCTGACGCCTCGTGTAAGCTGGCCTTGAATGATATCGAGAATGCGCGAGGTGCTAACGTTAGTAAAGGACAAACGCTTCCAAACCCTCATCGCCCTAATGTTATCGTCTCAAACAAAAGACACTACCAACGCGATCGCCATGCGCCGTCTACAAACAGAGCTTCCGTCTCCTGGGCTTACACTCGAGAATATTCTCCGGGTGGATCCTATCAAGCTCAATGAGCTGATCTACGTCGTTGGCTTCCACAACAACAAAACACGATACATCAAAGCGGCCGCCTTGATACTCCGAGACCACTATGCAGGCGACATACCTGATTCAATCGAAGGACTCATGTCTTTACCCGGAGTAGGGCCCAAAATGGCCTACCTCTGCTTAAGCGCTGCGTGGGGTCGAACTGAGGGAATAGGAGTCGATGTGCATGTTCATCGTATCAGCAATCTCTGGGGCTGGCACAAGACTAAGGCTCCTGAGGAGACAAGGGCAAGTTTAGAGGCATGGTTGCCCAGAGAGCGATGGCATGAGATCAATCATTTGCTGGTTGGATTTGGGCAAACGATTTGCTTGCCTGTGGGGAGAAAATGCGGCGACTGTACGCTCAGTAAAAAAGGCTTGTGTCCCTCGGCCGTGGTAGATAAGAAGAAAGTGATCAAAAAGGTGAAGGGGGAGGTGGCGGTCAAAGGGGAGGGAAGTGAGACAGTTGAAGTGAAGCAGACCGAAGAGAGTGTGGTAGTCAAGGAGGAGGATGTGTTGGCTGAAGACGTGAATTGAGTCTTGCGCAATACTTAACCACCGTTGTGACCTGTTCACAAGGAAAGCAACCGAAAGAATCTTTTCAATCCGGTATTGTCAATCTTTCAGGGCAAGTTCTAGGAAGCCGCTCCGCGTACACCTCTTGGATCCAGGGGCAGATCCCCCAGACTGCCACACTTGGGCACTGACGAGGTGCATGTCATGTAGATAGCCTTGGGATCCTCACCCTGAAGCCAGTCTCATCACCCTGGTCGGGCTACCCAACGAGGGTACATTTGGAGCCTCGTGAAGGCAATGGCGGGCGATACTTGGAACTCATGCACATGAGGTGCAAAGTTCTTGTCTTCAAAGTTGACATTTCTCGAGGCTTTTGCACCGTGATCCTTTGCTTCTGCTGGCATATAGTCAGTCTTCCTAGAGTGCAATTGGCTGTCTAATAGCGTTTGATGTTTGTATTCTTCCTTGTTTCCTCAAACCAGTTGGCATCACAGTCCAACCCTGGGGCTTGTGTTTTTATTGAGAAGCTTTCCTTGTCTTCTACATGCAGCGAGTGGCTTCTGCAGGCTTCTATGACTTGTTCTTTGTTTGAATCGACTCAGCCCCAGTATGCTCACATCTCTCCTAGGAGTTCAACAATTTGCTCATATGAAAGATTGCTCTTTACATTGTCCGGCTTTTTTCCCTCGTCAATATGTGATGCCTGTCGACCCCTGCCTCCGAGACCTTTTTGCCATTTTCTATACTTTCATACGCAAAGCCGTTTCCAACTCCCTCCTAGAGACTCACGCGAACCGAACAGCAGTCTTCAGTCTGCGCCACTGCCGATCCGTTAGACTGGTCGGCTTCATGCCTTCTTGTCCGCCAAAGGGGCCATCATGCAAAAGGTCTGACTCTTGTCTGCGGAAACGAGAGATTCGCGGTACATCAGAGAGTCGCGCGCCACCACTCGCAAAGTTTTGCTACGGTAATGGCCGGTGCCTTCATCGACGCAAGCATCAAGACTTACATCGTCAAGGACATGGCGCAGCAGCATTTGCCGAAACGATCAATTTTCTATACCGGGGAAACTATCACGACAGCCTCAGTACCCCAGATCTCAGCGAGGTGTCCAGCTCGTCCGCCGGTTCATCTTCGATACTACGTTATATAGGAAGAGCTTTCGTCAAAGATGCAAGTGCACGGTTGGAAACCAGCTCACTCGTGTACATCTTTAGAAGACCGCTGTGACTTTTCAAAATGTAAAGTCTCTTAGCCATGAACGGTTTTGAAAGCGTTGATTTATCAATCCTGGCCGGTTGATGGAGTTTCAGCACTCGTGAAGGGGATTTTTGATAATACTCTAAACAGGAAGGAAAACATATGAAAAGTGGTTTCACAAAGTTGTGCTGAGTACCGGCAACAGATCTTGGATGACAAGGATTGGACCGACGTTCTCGATGGTAACGGTGGAGTTGCGACTGTTGACATGAAGGTTCCCTCGCGCAAGCAGGGCGCCACGGGCAAGAATCTAAGTGGGTGCTGAGGAGTGTAATCAAGACGCTTGAGGAGCAGATTCGGCGAACGAGGAGGACGACGAAAAGCGGCAAGGAACAGGGCGAAGGGAAACACAAAGAGATCGCTTGCTATGCTTGTGCAAGAAAATTTGGCAGTGTTTTCCTGATGAAGTGATGGAATAATCTTAAAGACATTAAGAACCAGCTTAGAGATATAGTGAGAGAGATCTGAGGCATGGTCCTCGTCCCATCGGACCGAGTGGGCCAGCACATGTATTAAGACCTTGCAAGTATGTTGCACAGTTGCAAATGAAGACACCAGACAATATCTACTCCGATTGGCGTCAGCCCAAAGCAGTTGTAGTTACCCTATATCTGGACAAATTCCAGCATTGAGACCGCGCTCGAGTAGACTCGAAGCACCCTCATTTGATAGTGGGAGAGTGGGTATGGTGACCTGTGAGCTCTGAATTACCTCACTAAAAATTTTGAGTGCTACATACCTTAATTTCTGACCTGAAGTAGGTTAAAGCTTGCGGTGCGGGAGACCCAAACGGGACTAGCGCTATATACTACTTCCTTAGCGGCATAAATCTTAACTTCCGAATCTTGACTCAGTGAACCTCGAGTGTCCGCCCTTGCCACAGCGGGGATCAAGAGGGCATCAATATTTTCGACCGCCTCCTTGTCCCTTTTGTACTTGATCGTACTTCGATCTCCAGCCTCTTACCTACCACAAATCTGCGCAGTAGTCGCGTTCACTGACTCTGCGACTCAAGATGGCAGACCCTAACAACATCTCGCAGTACAAATATGCTGCTATGTCCAACTTGGTCTTGCAGCACGATAAACGTTTCTCTACCCGCCGCAATGATGAAGTCACAGGTGACCCAGAGTCCTTGGCAGGTCGCATCAACATTCGTGACATGGGGTCGAGAGATGCTCGTGAGAATGCTCCCAAACAAAAGAAGAAGACAACCGATCTCAAGGATGTCGAGAGAGGCAGCATCAGAGAGGGAGAGGAGGTGTTGAAGAGAGAACAGAAGAAGAGGAAGCGAGGCGAGCCGGAACAAATGCGAGGGGCTGGCATCCTTTCTGCGGCAGATGCCCTGGTAGAAGGCTTGAAGTATCGACCTCGGACTCCAGCAACACGGCAAACCTATGATCTTATCTTGACAACGACTGCAAATAATCTGGGTGATGTACCCCATGAGGTTGTGAGAAGCGCCGCAGATGCCATACTTGAGCTTCTTAAGGACGAGAATATGAAGGACTTTGACAAGAAGAAGGAAGTTGATGATCTACTGGGTGTCACAATGGATTCAAAGGCGTTTAATGAATTGGTCAATTTGGGAAAGAAGATTACGGATTACGATGGCCAAGACGAGGATGCGAATATGGACGACGACGGCGCCGGAAATGCCGAGGATGATGTCGAACTGGACGAGAAACAGGGTGTAGCTGTAGTTTTCGACGAATCGGACGATGAAGAAGAAGGCGGTCCCGAGACTTTGGAGGTCAGAGATGAGGACGAGCCTTCCTCAGATGAAGAGGCGGAGAACGCCGAAACGCAGGTAGATGACGCCGCTGCCGGTGGCGCAGAAGCAAGGGACCCAGTCGAAATTACGGGAGACGGTGGAGAAATGATCATTGACGGCAATGCTGACGGGTCGACCACCAAAATGGACCGAAAAGCGGAAATGAATGTTGTACCCGTAAGAGACATAGATGCATACTGGCTACAACGACAAATTGGTGTCATCTACACCGATGCCCATGTCCAGCAATCGAAGACTCAAGAAGCCCTGCAGCTTCTTTCCGGCATCTCCGAAGATGGAGAAGAAAAACCTTTAAGAGAGATCGAGAATGAGCTTATGGAGCTGTTCGACTGGGAGCATCATGAGCTGGTTGAGAAACTCATCATGAACCGAGACAAGATCGTATGGGTTACTCGCTGGCGAAGAGCAGCGGAAGATGGGACTGTCAGAGCTGCGCTGGAGCGCGAAATGATCGCAGAAGGTCACCGAGCTATCCTCGATGAGCTCGAAGGTCGGAATGACGAGGATGTCGATGGGGTTTTGAAACCAAACAAGAAGCTCAAGCTTGACCTCATGGACATTGACGTACCATCGGCAGCAACGGATGGGGCGCTTGCCAAGAAGGATGGAGCTTTGGTTGGAGGTCTGCAACCTAAGAAACTGATCAACCTTGAGAATCTAGTCTTCGATCAGGGGAATCATCTGATGACGAATCAAAATGTAAAGCTTCCCAACGGAACGACGAAGCGGACTTTTAAGGGTTACGAAGAAATTCATGTACCGGCTCCCAAAGCACGCAAAGATGCCAGCGAGCGCAACAATATCCCGACATCTGATCTGCCAGAGTGGGCACGGCAAGGCTTTGGTAGCTCGAAAGAATTGAATCGTATCCAGACAAAATGCTTTCCCACAGCATTTGGGAATGATGAAAACATGTTAATCTGTGCCCCGACTGGTTCTGGAAAGACGAACGTGGCAATGCTAGCCATGCTCCGCGAGATTGGGAAGAACCGAAATCCCGAGACTGGAGAGATCATGCTCGACGACTTCAAGATTGTCTATATTGCTCCATTGAAGGCTTTGGTTCAGGAGCAAGTAGGCAATTTTGGGAAACGATTAGAGCCATACGGTGTAAAGGTCTCTGAGCTTACCGGTGACCGGCAACTTACCAAGCAGCAAATTGCTGACACACAGATCATTGTCACAACGCCAGAGAAGTGGGACGTCATTACCCGAAAGGCAACGGATATGAGCTACACCAACCTGGTCAGACTCATCATCATCGACGAGATCCATCTTCTGCATGATGACCGAGGTCCAGTACTTGAGAGCATAGTCAGCAGGACCATCAGAAAAATTGAACAAACAGGAGACCCGGTCCGGCTGGTAGGCCTAAGTGCAACCCTTCCCAATTACCGAGACGTGGCAAGCTTTTTGCGTGTCGATCCTATCAATGGTCTTTTCCATTTTGATGGATCCTACAGACCATGTCCTCTGCGTCAGGAGTTCATTGGAGTTACAGACAAAAAGGCGATCAAGCAGCTCAAGACTATGAATGACGTTTGCTATACCAAAGTCATGGAACAGGTTGGCCAGAACAAGCATCAGCTATTAATCTTCGTACACTCGCGAAAAGAAACAGCAAAGACTGCTAGATACATCAAAGACAAGGCTCTAGAGATGGAGACCATAGGGCAAATCCTTCGGAGCGATGCAGCAAGTCGAGAGATCCTCGAGGAAGAATCTGGTCAGGTGATGGATAGGGACTTGAAAGAGCTGATGCCCTACGGATTCGGTATCCATCACGCCGGAATGAGTCGCTCTGATCGAAGCTCCGTCGAAGATCTTTTCGCCGATGGTTCGCTCCAAGTTCTTGTTTGTACGGCAACGTTGGCGTGGGGTGTCAATCTCCCGGCTCATACTGTCATTATTAAGGGCACCCAGATCTACTCCCCCGAGAAAGGGAGCTGGGTAGAACTAAGCCCGCAGGATGTTTTGCAAATGCTCGGTCGTGCGGGGCGGCCTCAATATGATACCTTTGGAGAGGGTATCATCATAACGACCCAGAGTGAGATGCAGTACTATCTGTCGCTCATGAATCAGCAGCTTCCGATTGAGAGCCAGTTTATCAGCAAGTTAGCCGATAACCTCAACGCAGAGATAGTCCTCGGCAACGTCAGAACCCGAGACGAAGCCGTCGAGTGGCTGGGCTACACCTACCTATTCGTGCGGATGTTGCGCTCCCCTGGTCTGTACAGCGTAGGCGCCGAGTATGAGGGAGATAATGCGCTTGAACAAAAACGCGTTGACCTTATACACTCAGCTGCCGCGGTCTTGGAAAGGTCCAGTCTCGTCAAGTACGACAAGAAAACTGGCAAGCTCCAGGCCACAGAGCTTGGACGCATCGCCTCGCACTACTACATCACGCACACCTCCATGTTGACATACAATCATCATATCCAGCCAATGATCACTCCGATCGAACTTTTCAGAATTTTCGCGCTTAGTGATGAGTTCAAGTACATCCCAGTCAGGCAAGACGAGAAGCTTGAGCTAGCAAAGCTTCTAGGAAGGGTCCCAATTCCAGTTAAAGAAAGCATCGAGGAGCCACATGCGAAGATCAACGTATTATTGCAGGCTTTCATCTCACGACTGAAGCTGGAAGGTCTTGCACTAATGGCAGACCTGGTATACGTTACCCAGTCCGCCGGCCGAATCCTTCGAGCCATCTTCGAGATCTGCCTGAAGAAGGGTTGGTCGTCCGTAGCGAAGACTGCTCTAGACTTGTGTAAGATGGCGGAGAAGCGGATGTGGCCAACAATGACACCTCTTCGACAGTTTCCAACCTGCCCGCGAGAGATCATACAGAAAGCGGAAAAGATTGACGTGCCGTGGTCAGCATATTTTGACCTCGACCCTCCGCGCATGGGGGAGCTTCTTGGGATGTCAAAGTCTGGTAAAACGGTGTGTAGCCTTGTCCAAAAGTTTCCAAGGTTGGAAGTCCAGGCGCAAGTTCAGCCTGTGACAAGGTCTATGCTCCGGATTGAGCTTACAATAACGCCTAACTTCGAATGGGACGAGTCTGTGCACGGGATAGCAGAGAATTTCTGGGTTCTCGTTGAAGATTGTGATGGCGAGGATATACTGTTCCATGACCAGTTTCTCTTGCGGAAGGACTATGCACAATCAGAGATGAGCGAACACCTAGTGGAATTCACCGTTCCCATTACCGAGCCAATGCCGCCGAATTACTTCATCACTGTGCTATCTGACCGGTGGTTGCAGTCAGAAACGAAGCTTGCTGTGTCTTTCGAGAAGCTCGTCCTTCCAGAGAAATTCCCTGCGCATACGCCGTTGCTAGATCTACAGCCTCTGCCTGTCGCCGCGCTGAAAAGGGAGGACTTTAAGGGACTTTACCCCCAATGGGAAAAATTTAATAAAGTCCAAACCCAAGTATTCAGCTCACTCTTCACCACGAATGACAACGTCTTCGTTGGCGCACCCACAGGTACTGGCAAGACCGTATGCGCTGAATTTGCCATACTCCGCCATTGGTCATCGCAGGTTAAAGGTCGAGCTGTATATATCGCCCCATTCCAAGAGCTCGTCGATTTAAGGCTTGCGGACTGGCAAGAGAGGCTCGCAAAGGTTGCGGGTGGTAAACAGATTGTCAAGCTCAGGGGCGAAACCACGGCTGATCTGAAGATCCTGGAAAAGGGCGACCTGATACTAGCAACTCCAACACAGTGGGATCTAATTTCTCGTCAATGGCAACGGCGGAAGAATGTGCAGACCGTGCAGTTGTTTATTGCAGACGAGCTGCACATGCTAGGGGGCCAAGGAGGCTTCATCTACGAAATCATCGTGTCGCGGATGCACTACGTGGCGCTGCAGACCGAGAATAACATGCGCCTGGTTGGGTTGAGCGTCTCGCTTTCCAATGCTCGGGATGTTGGGGAATGGCTTGGAGCCACGAAGCATACCATCTACAACTTCAGCCCTCACGTGCGGCCAGTACCGCTTGAATTGCATATTCAATCCTTTACTATACCTCACTTCCCCTCATTGATGCTTGCGATGGCTAAGCCGACCTATGCTGCTGTCCTCCAGATGTCTCCGGACAAGCCGGCCATGATCTTCGTTCCTAGTCGCAAGCAAACACGTGCTACTGCTCTTGACCTGCTTGCAGCTTGCATAGCGGACGATGACGAGGACAGATTTCTGCACGCCGGCATTGATGAGATAGCTCCGCTATTGCAACGTGTCAACGAGACTGCCCTGGCTGACTCCATATCACATGGTATAGGGTATTTCCATGAAGCTCTAAGTATGAACGACAAGCGCATCGTCTCTCACCTCTACTCGATTGGAGCTCTTCAGATCATGGTTGCTTCACGAGACGTCTGCTGGGAGATTGACTGCACTGCTCACCTCGTCATTGTGATGGGTACTCAATTCTACGAGGGCCGAGAACATCGGTATATTGATTATCCTATTAGCGAGATCTTGCAGATGTTTGGCAAAGCTAGCAGACCCCTTGAGGATAAGTCGAGTAGAGGTGTGCTCATGGTACCCGCCACCAAGCGCGAATACTACAAGAAGTTCCTGAACGAGGCTCTTCCGATCGAGAGCCATCTTCAAGTCTACATGCACGATGCGTTTGTGTCAGAGATCAGTACAAAGATAATTGCATCTACGCAAGACGCTGTCGACTGGGCTACGTACACCTACTTCTACCGTCGACTACTGGCTAATCCAAGCTATTACGGACTGACAGACACTTCGCATGAGGGTCTGAGTACACATCTGTCAGAGCTGGTCGAGAATACGCTTAAAGACTTATCGGCAGCCAAGATCATAGAGCTGGACGAGGAAGATGATACCGTCAACCCACTCAATGCCGCCATGATTGCCGCCTATTACAACATCTCGTTCATCACTATGCAAACATTCTTACTCTCACTGACAGGCCGTACTAAGCTCAAGGGCATCCTGGAGATAGTCACATCCGCTACAGAATTCGAGTCAATCCAGATACGACGGCACGAGGATCACATCTTGCGGCGTATCTACGACCGAGTCCCTGTCAAAATGGCTCAGCCCGCGTACGAATCTCCCCACTTCAAAGCATTCGTCCTGCTCCAAGCGCATTTCTCCCGCATGCAACTACCAGTAGATCTCGCAAAAGACCAAGAGATTATCTTATCCAAAGTACTGAACCTCCTCAGTGGCTGCGTAGACGTCCTCTCTTCAGACGGCCATCTCAACGCTATGAGCGCTATGGAAATGTCACAGATGGTAGTGCAAGCCATGTGGGATCGTGACAGCCCATTGAAGCAGATTCCGCACTTCTCACCCGAAGTCATCAAAGCGGCTAATGACTCCGGCGCTAAAGACATCTTCGAGTTCATGGATCTAATGGACCCATCCGAGAACAAAGAATACGAGAAGATAGTCAAGCGACTCGGTCTCGATAACAAGCAGCTTGCTCAAGCCGCGACTTTCACGAATACCAAGTATCCCAACGTGGAGATTGAATTCGAGGTTGAAGACCCAGAAAACATCGCCACCAACTCTCCTGCTCATCTCAAAGTCGCGATTACAAGAGAAGTGGATGAGGATGAAGAACCGGATACGGCGGTGCACGCGCCATTCTACCCGCAGAAGAAGATGGAGAATTGGTGGTTGGTGGTCGGGGATGAGGGTTCGAAGAATTTACTTGCGATCAAGAGGGTGACTATTGGAAAGAAGTTGGACACAAAATTGGAATTTGTGCCTACGAGGGTGGGAGAGCAGGAGTTGACGCTTTACTTGATGAGTGATAGCTATGTTGGTGTGGATCAAGATCCGTCTTTCAAAATCACTGCGGCGGAAGGAATGGAGGAAGATGAGGATGAGGAGGAAGAGGAGTGAAACTGAGGTTGCTGGGTAGGGGTAGAACGTGTAAATTAGTATCTAAAGCATAGTATAAAGAACTATACCCTGCAAGACACTCCGTATTTGTGGGAGAGGCAATTCATGCTTCTTGTATTGATGTAACTGAAGTAACGCCTGATCAATATAGTAATTTTCGGTAATAAGCTGGCACATCTAGCTTTCAAAGGCCAAAGCCACCTACCTCGGCCATTCAAGCAAGTCCATCAGCTATATTCGGCACATATTCTCTCGACCGCCGTCTCTCTGATAAGGTTAGCCACAGCCTGCGTATGTGCATTGCAACCACGAGCAATCAAGCAAGTCCGGAAGGAGTTCGGTATCAGTACTCCTCACCTCGGCCACAAAGGGCCAACACTCATGTCTACCACCCTCAACCCCCGCAGTCCGACAATTCGGAATTTCCGGCTCCCCCGGCTTCCCTATCTTGACTGTTCCACACATACGCCACGTGCTGATTGCAGTTTTCCGGACGTATTCCCAAAGACGGAGGACCGTTAGCGAGGGTTCCCACTTTGCCTCCTCATGCCGCTATGAGAGGAGAAAATGCAGATGAAACTGAGGCAAGGCACCGAGATATCTCCATCGTTGTGTCCCGTTGGACCGGTAGCGAGGTGGACCTGGTCCTTGGCTAGAAGCGCTTTGTCCAGGAACTCCAATGTTTCTCGAACGGATTCGAGGGCTACGCCCCGATCAAAGGGGGGAGAGAGAAGAGTGGGGTTGATCTTAGGGAGTTTGGTTGGGTCTGAGGACTCTAGCTTGACCCCCGCGGACCCACCAGCCCCTTGGGTGCTGGTGAATACTACGGCGGCTGGCTGCGAGGTAGTTTTCTGACGCTTTCACGCTGGGGCTTGGATTTTGCTACCACAGCAAGCGTTACTTGAAGGCCTTCACGGAGAAATGATGAAAGAATGGTAGAGACTGCTGGGGTTTGGCAACAATCGGACCGTGACAGGTGCAGTCATGAAATGCTACTACTGTCTGGATGAGATGCCACAAAGTGATGAACGGCATGCAGGGTGGGCATGTATAAGTTAACACGGAAAGGGAAAAAGGGAAACCAGAGTCCGACTCACCGAGATGGTCTCATAGCTGGGCTTCGTGTCAGCCTGTAACGCCATTTGGATCGTAATGTCGAGTTCTCGCAATTCTTGCGAGCCCACAATACTCTCACTTTGGAAATAAGCGTTCGTCTGAGGTAGGTAATAGCCAGATAGAGGTCCGGAACGGTCGATCATCCATTCCTTTCGTGCTTCTCCCAGGGCCTCTGGGGAATCGATATATGATATCCGGTGACCACTTCCTGGCTTTTGGGTAGTGACCAGCCCTAGACACAGGTGATTGTTGAGATTCTTGCTAATACTTGGGGAGTCTTCAAAGACTGGCATGTTAAGATCTTGGAGATCTTTGGCAGGTCAAATGCTGGAGAGCAGTAACATTTTCAGTGAGTCAATTGCTCCGATTGAGACCATAACCTCTCGTCGTGAGTATACCAATATGCTCCGGTTGGACCTTCGAGGCCGCAGCAAGCGGATTTGTCTTGCAGTGGAGATTGAATTCAAAGTAACAATGGGAAAATACACTAAGTTCAATACTTTCAACCAAATTCCCACGTCCTTTTGACAATGGCTTCAGATAATCACTGATAGCAGTATCGTGCAGAGTTGTTTGTGCCAAATCGAAAGATATTGATCCAATTCCACAAACTCGTTTTCCTTTATTTATCGTAGCCTTTCGTGTCAAGCCACTGGCAACGACAAGATTGGTCTCCCCGAGCTTCGGGATGTCGGTGAAACTGGAATTCATCTCCCATGAGACAAAGAACACGACAAATGGTGAGGGTGTCGCTAGAATATTCTTTCAACGAACAAAAATAGAAACAACGATAACTCTTCGTAGGCCAGGCAAAACGACTACAAAGCAGTTGTAAAAGAGAGAGCTAGCTCACTGATTCATAACAAAAGAGCTCATTTTACCATATTACAGGAAATCACGGACTCATATCTCCTCTCAATATTCTGATTCATCCCCCCTTTCCCTCAAATCAAAACATAACATAGTAGCCTTTTCTGCATAGAATACTTACGACTGCTGAGCCTGAAAAGCGAACAATTATTGCCTTTTCCGCAGAACTGACACTCACATTTGCAATCTCCGCCAATAGTCTTGCAAAGCCGATTTCCTCCATTCAGCTGCTTTGGCCGCCATGGATTCAAGCCGTGCCCCACCTACGCCATCGACGTCTAGCTTTTCCGGTGCTACAACCACTCAGCGCCGCGAATCCAAGACTCCCATCCACAAGCGGCGCTTTGCTCATCTTCTACACCAGCTCTGCCCTCTCCTCAGTATTGAGACAGGCCTCCCACACCCGGACTTTCCCCTAACCATACTCCACTACCACCTCTTGTCCGAAGAGCAGCTCGACTCCCTTGCCCATTTCTACCACCAGCGCACGCCAGGTCAATATAGCCTTGGGTATCCCATGCCTGTCGTTGCCAGATGGTGGGCGCCAAGCGATCAGGAACTAGAGGAAGGTGAAATCGATGAGCTGGAAGAGATAAAGAGGATAATGGAGCTCGCAGAGCAGAAGGACGACAAGGAAGTTGCGAGCGTCGAGGACAAGCGGAGGCGCTTTGGGAGATTTTTAGGCCTGAGGAACTGCGAGTCGAGTCAAGGAGAGGGTGAGATGAGGAGAGAAATGGAGGAGTATATCGCGAGGGAGATGGCAAGGAAGGAGCATAGAGATCGTGAGATGGAAAGTTGGCGGTCGAAGGGATACTGGTCATGATTGTGTGTTGGTGGAGAACCAGTTTGATGAAGTATTTTGGCCTTGAACTGGTGAGAGCACTGTACTATGAGGTGAATGCCTCTGTGTTTGCGGCTTGTGGGGAGCTGAGTTTCTTTGAACCGGAACGGCATGCATGGTAGAGCGATTAAAGGTGTTTGTTTGTGGCTTGCACACATTGTTGGATTAGCATGCATCGGATTTATCTGTATAGACGGACTCAATATGCACATTAGTTCTTTATTCCTTGGATCGGGAATCGTATAAACCAATATGGTACTCATGTGCAACAAGCAGAGTACCGTAGACAACCGAAAATGATGCCATGATTTCTATGCCAAGGCTTCGTTCAAGAGTACTACTCTAACACATTGCGATTTCCATTGTTGTTACCAGCCATCACCCTCATGAAAAGTAGCAGCTGCGGACAGCTACCAGTCTGAATGACAGATCAAACAACATATTCAAATTACTGCCATCAATCGCCATGCCACCTGAACGAACCGTTGCGCTTTCCCTCATATCTGTTGCATGTCTCGCAACTTTCCTTTACTATACCATGTTACCCCTGGGCCCACAGTTACTTTGGGAACCAGAGACTACAATGGATTTCAGAACAGTAAACAAGATGACAGTCGCAGAGAAGTTCACCCCAGATATAATGCTCTCAGCGCCCAGACGAAGCTCAGCATCTCCGAACAGCGCTGGAACTCTAGCCGTCTATACTGTCTCCACTTACTCGTTCGAGTCACACAGGAAAACCTCGGAGATCAAGGTGCTTGACATCAGCAGTGGAAGCCAGTCACTCATTACTAATGCCGAGGGGACGAGTGAGCCAGCTTGGTTGGGAGGCGGGAATGAGCTATTGTGGCTGAAATCAGGGGAAAAAGGGCATACTCAATTGGTAGTAGGGAGTGCCGACGAGGTTGGAAAGAGCTATGTCGCTGGTCTTGTGCCGGCACCAATATCAGATGTTAAGCTCAAGATATTGGACGCGGAGCGGGTTGCCATTGTGGTCTCAGCCAAAGCGAAGCTAGATGGCTCCTTGTACCAAAAGGAAGACGAGCCGAAGAAGTATTCGACTGGGATGTTATACGAGTCTTTAATGGTACGTCATTGGGACCACTATGTAAAACCGCAACGAAATGCTTTATGGCATGGGATTCTTCACAGACAGAAACCGCACATCACAGAGAAACTGGGCAGATATAGTTTGGGGAAGCTCACGAATATCCTAAGAGGATCAGGCCTAGAGAGCCCAATACCGCCTTTTGGGGCCAAAGATCATTTCGATATTAGTATCAATGGCATCGGCTTTGTGGCAAAGGATCCTGAATTGAATCCTGCGACGAATACGAAATGCAACTTCTATTATGTCTCCATTGATACCTCCGTGGAAGGTCCAACATATTCGGAACCGAAAAAGTATGGAAAGCCAGGCATTGAAGGTGCCAGCTCTTCACCCGTGCTGTCACCGGACGGCAATAGCGCTGCATTTCTGCAAATGAAAGAGAATGGATATGAATCCGACAAGAATAGAATTCTCTTGTCTGATCTCACCACACCATCTACGACTGTTGAGCTCTTCGAATCAAACGATGGGAAGGGACTGTGGGATAGAAGCCCTGGCTCCGTCGGATGGAGCACCGATGGCAAGGCCTTGCTCTTGGTCGCAGAGGACACAGGAACGTCTCGATTGTTCAAGCTTGATGTCCCAGCCGATGAGCAGGGCACCCTCGAACTGCCAATTCCATTGACGCCTAAGGCCGGACACGTTGATGATGTTCAATCTCTTGGAGCAGACTCATCCCACCTTTTCCTTTCGGGCTCGAACCTGGTAGACAACAGCATTTACTCGATTCTGGACCCTGCAGGCTCGGCAGAAGCAAAGGTCATCTCCTCAAATTCTCGGAATGGCTCTTTCTTCGGCCTTTCGCAGGACCAAGTTTCGGAGATTTGGTTCCAAGGCTCTAGTGAAAAAGTTCATGCTTGGGTAATGAAGCCTTCAAGCTTCAGCTCGGACCAGCGTTATCCCCTAGCCTACCTCATACATGGTGGTCCTCAAGGTAAGTCTCCGATGACTGTCTGATAGTATTGCGAACTTTCAGTTGAAGGTGCAGTGAAAATGCTGACGTCGAATGGTGTTTAGGTGCTTGGAATGATCAGTGGAGCACACGTTGGAACCCAGCCGTATTCGCAGAACAGGGCTGTATGTATTTCAGGGTCTATGTTTCCTCTTTCGAACGAATTATATTTCTTGAAACATGTCCAAGGCGTTTTTGTTTTGGAAAATCCTTTCATGGCTGGATAACTACCCCCAAAAGGCAATACTGACTCTGAAATCTTGATGCAGATGTTGTGGTAGCCCCAAATCCCACAGGCAGTACAGGTTATGGCCAGTCTTTCACTGATGCGATCAAAGAGTCTTGGGGTGGCCTCCCATATCAAGATCTAGTCAATGGATTTGCGTACATCAAAGAAAGTATGGACTATGTAGACACGGACCGTGCTGTTGCGCTCGGAGCAAGCTATGGTGGCTACATGATGAATTGGATGCAAGGCCATCCTTTGGGGAAAGAATTCAGAGGTATGACAAATTTCTGAGCTAACGTATCCGCAAGGTCCACTGCTATACGTCTGCTAACAACCAATATGAAAAGCGCTCGTATGCCACGACGGTGTCTTCAGCATGACAAATCAATTAGCCTCGGACGAGCAATATTTCCCCAATCACGATCTTGGTGGGCCGTACTTCACTAAACATCAAGACTCGTGGGAGAAATGGAACCCTGCACACTTCACCACGAATTGGTCCACGCCGATGCTAGTCATTCACAACGAGCTAGATTATCGACTTCCAATAAGTGAAGGCCTAGCAATGTTCAATGTATTACAGGAAAAGGGCATCAAGAGCAAATTTCTAACGTTTCCTGACGAGTAATGACTGCCCTAGCTTCTATATGCCTCAGGGGTTGCTAATGATTGCGCAGAAACCACTGGGTCCTCAAAGAGGAAAACAGCCTACAGTGGCATCTCGAGGTCATCAACTGGATAAATTCATTCGTAGAGCTACCTCCATACGAAGCCGAAAGCGCAAAGAGACTTGAGGCTCAGAACTAAGCAAGGCCGCTGTGCCCAGCAACCATCGCTTGCGCGTCCATTGCTAAGTTTGACCTACTCGCGATAGAGTCCGATGACATTCATGATCAATTCTTTAGAGAGGCCCAGAGCCACGACTTCAACCTTGAAGTACGTTTTCCACAGTCGCTGAACGACTGCCTGTCCACCGAGGACCTGGAGTTGCTGCAGATGCTGTATGCTGATTTTGGACCATGACCTCAATTCCGGACCGCCTTGCGGCTGCTGGGGCTCTCCAACCTTCTGAAGCTCTCTGACCCACCCAACATAAGCACGGGGAGGGATGTACGCGGTGGATCTGGAGCTCAGCTCGATCTGTTAAGAACGAAATGGACATCCTTCTAGCCTCCGATCAACATTTATCAAACCACTGCTAATGACCGCGAGTGGTCGGATACCTTCTCCATGGCATTAGAAACCAAGTCAACCGGTATGACGATTAGCACTGGCTCGAGAGTTCGGAATCAAGCTACAGTCTGTACAGCAGTCAGACCAAGGGCAGGAAGCACGCCACCCGGAAATATGTACCTTTGTGCCTCATCCTCAGCCACTGTTTGTCGTCGTCCTCAGACCAAACCATAGGGTCGCACACAAGGCTTGGCAGAGGAAAAAAACCTCCATGAGAATCCTTCACTGCAGCTTTGATAAGATCCGCGGGCGGGAACAAGCAGACCTGGATCAGACGATGAAAGGATCGATTGGTTGCCCTCACTGATTCACATTTCTGTACATACCTTTCCCTTTCCAATTTTGCAGCACACCTCTGTCAACGCCAGAGCAATAAGACTCATGCTATCGGCTGAGCCAGGCTGCGTAGGTGGATTACAGATCGCCGAGTCTATACGGATGAGAAGCCTTCCCTCTGCATCACTATCTTTGTAGATTACTCCGCCGTTGGCAAGTCTTCGAGAGGGACAAGGTGTTGTTCAACCGTGATATACGGCGCCTTGTCCCGCAAAACAAGTCAAGTCGGAAAGCAAGTACTATGATGGAAGTTCTATGGTCTCTTCATGTACCCGAAACTTCTTCTGAGTTGAATAAACATGTGCGGCGTGGACTTCAGACCATGAAGGTAGATGCAGTAATCCAAACGACATAATCAAGAGACGATAGATTTTCGCAGTCTTTGAGTATGTATGGTACAGGAAAATTTCCACCGAGGTATAATGCTACGATGCTCGTTCCCGAGCTCAACTCCTTCAATGGACCCTTTTTATACATCGTATGAAGGGAGAGGGTCCTCCATCCGTACACCGCTAACGCCCATCTCCCATGCAGCCTTCTCTATGTTAGCCTCCACGGCATCCTCATCCATAGTCGTCCTCCGCAAAATTGCCCGAAGGAATTCCGCTAAGATGAACAACCCCTCTTCCTTCTGGATATCTGCATCACACTGCTGCACATCATCCAATCCGGCCTCTGCCAAGAATTTCTCCCGTTGCTCAGCCAAGAGAGAAAAGGCTTGCGCTATTCTAGCGGCATTGGCTCTCCTCTGAGTATTTCCCTTTCTTAGGCGCCCAGCCCTTGGCCTCTTGTCTTCACCGATCCCTAGACGACCGACCTGGACGCTGACCGTGCGAGTGGTCTCTGCGTCGGGGTATATCCCGAACGACTCTTTCATAGCGTAAAGCGCCGCTATGAGTCCTTCCAGGTCAGCAGTTTGGCCGAGGCAGCGGATGATCTGGTTGTACAGCTCTTTGCTGAAGTCCTCTCGGACCAGTCCGATTTCTCCAGGTTGCAGTAATGAGTACCAGTTCATCATGTCTGACATCAATCTCCGGGGTCCCGGGAATCTATCCTTGGCACGTATCAGGAGGCTGTCGAGATGCGCTTTCTCACAGTCCCAAAGACAAGCGAATGTTTCTAGATCTGGTCGTGTTTTGCGGAACATTAGCTCATACCTTTCCCACGCTGATTGGTGCTGCCCTTTTCGTAGATCAACGTAGAGTAGATGATTGATAAAATAGGAGTTGGGCGGTATTTCAGCCACGGCAAGGCATTTTTGCATCAGTTGTACATTGTCATCCTGACCTCTCCGCCCGTAATGTTGGAGAAGCAAAGCAAATGTTTCGATGTTTGCAGGTGAGATGGTACGTCTGAGGTGTGGAGGTACAGTGATACCTTTAACGTTGGGCATATCTGGGGTATTGAAGGCATCGCGATGTGCACGTCTATTGACGAGATCGAGTCTCTCATGTATCATGGCCCAAGCCATCTCCTCCGCCATCTCTCTATCTTTGTCGTTCCCAGTTCGCAACCAAGCACCAACGATGCCATTCAAATGTCTAGAATCTGGTCTGACTCCGCGCTCGTACATCAGCTCAATCACAGTGGCGGCTGCATCAACCTGGCCCATACCAAGTAGCTTCTTCAACCAGCTTGCATAGAAGAACTTGTTTTGGAACCTCCTTGGTAGAGCAATTAGTCCTGTTAGAGAGATCTTGTTAAGATCTTCTGGAGTTATAGTACTCGACTGTGACGTGCCAATAAGACTGGCAGCCTTTCTGTAGAGCTCGATGGACCCCTGATCGGTATGCTCCCCAGTGAGCATCAGATCCTTGAAAACGGCCAGAGCGAGGTCTGCCCTTCCAGCATTCAAAAGGCTCAGACTGATATTGTCATAATCCTCCATCGTCATGTTGTCACCTACTTGCGTTTTGAAGCGAAGATACAAAGCCCAAGCATGTTTGATGCCAATAGCATCACCACGCTGGGCCCACGCGCTGAGTATGGGGATGAGTATCCGAGAATCTTCCGACTTTTCGGGTCTCAGATAATCCAACGCGATCTTTTCGGCCCTTTCTGGGTCTCCATTGGATGCAAACATGCGGACTCCAAGCAATTCATATTCTTCGATTGCTCGCTTGTCCTCTCCAAGGTCACCCTCGAGCTTTTGCCATTGGCTGATGGCCTCATTGTGGCGTCCTTCACGCCGCAGACCCTCGATATATAAGATCCTCTGGTAAATATGCAGCTCTTTCCCGGCGGAAAGCATGTCCTCCGATAAAGTGATCAGATGCAAAGCCCATTGCGGATGATTTGTCGACATCGTGTGGTGGCTTGCCCACAGAACAGTCCATGATTTTTCCGGTATCAGATGTAAAAATGGAGGAAGGGCTGCTTTGCAGCGAGCGTATGATTTCCACAGCTTCTTTCGGAGGCCTTGATCCTCGAGCTTGCCAGCTGCTTCTTCTATGTTCGTGTTCAAAGTTCGGAGGTATGTGCCTTGTTCTGGCGGCAGTTGCCAATGTATCTCGAGCTCGTTCTTCTTCGGAACAAGCTTGGCGAGCCTGCGTTTTACCTCTGCAACCTCTAAATCTTTTCGCTTCTCTTCGAGCTCCTCTTGCATTATCGCAGCTCTGACTTTCTGCTGATCTTCTGGTGAGAGCGTCGCAATTAGCGGCTCAATCATCGTCTTTTCCCCCGGGTCCTCCATTTCTCGTAATTCATCTTCCAGCTGGCTGATCTGACGCTTGAGCCATCTCGCTTCGTCGTTCTCTTCCGCATCTGGGTTGTTGTGATCTATCCGCCGTCTCTTGGTTGACCCAGGTAGTAGTTGCTGATACCATCTTACCTTGGGCTCGTCCGGATTCGAATCATCAAGGAGAGGACGAGAGATTGCAAAAGCTCGGCGGAGCTGTGGATGCGGTTGACGGATGTACCATGCGTGGCTAAATTTCAAGTGTACATGATATTGACGAGCTATACGTAAGCTCAACATGAATATTTGAAGCGAATATGCACATGAGAAACGAGGGGTATCCTAAGACTTATCCCTTTATAAAGGGTGCAATTATTTTGAAAAAGTTTCGGTTGTGGGAGTACGATTGGTATTCCTACACCTCTCCATTCGAACCTCGTACCATGTCTGCGGTGGCCATCATTGTACAGAGCTATCGGACATAGTGCTCGAATGTAGAAAGGACTAAAACGGATTTGTCCTCTTTGAAGCTCGATCTTCAAAGAAAAAAGCAATAAATCTGGAGTGAAGAATCGTGCTTTCCTTTCAGTCCGCATTAATCATTATCAAAGTAGTCTATAAGTCTTCTAAGTATCTCTGGGAAAGAATATGTTCTTCCAAGACCATTCCGCCTGTCCAGATGTACTTATACCCACGTCCATCTATGCCACGAGAGAGTTCCTCTCACGACGTTTCTCTTGGGATCCTCCGCCTCTTCCGCCTCTGCCTATTGCTCTTCCTCCTCGCATACCGTGGTCTCCTCCCCCTCTTCCGCCTCTGCCGATTCCTCTTCCCCCTCGCATACCGTGGTCTCCTCTGCCCGGCGCGCCACGTCCTCGCCCTTCACGACCTCCTGGGACTCCAAACCCGTTGCTGTATGCAAAGGTGTTCACAGGTTCAGGAACGCCCTGGTGCCTGAGTCTCCTTGATGGACCATCGCGATCAGCCGCATGATCCTGAACAGGCGCGTCTCGCTTCATGCCTGGCTGACCGTCCTGAGATGGCGCCGCGTAATGAATCCCAGGAACGCCCTTTAAGCCCATTTTCCCAACCGTCTTCTTTTCCATTTCTGGGATCTTATTGCACTGCATCCCCTCCATGGCAAATACGTTTGCCATTCTGACTAGTTCGGTGGCATCAATCTGCATTTTGTTTAGGAACACCTTCATGAAGCCTAGATACGCTGAATACGCTTTTTGTTTGCTCTTGGGCTCCACGGATTGCAAGACATTGAAGATCTGGCTACGTGAGGTCGCATCATTCAGGATCTTGTTAGAAGCGGGATATGCGTTGATGGGGAATTGTCGATTTACTTTCAAGAAAAACGACTCCGCCTGTGTCAGGAGAAGTACGGCTCTACCGTCTTTTCCAGCGCGAGCTGTTCGGCCGACTCGGTGAGTGTAAGAATCGGCGTCCGCGGGAAGGCCGACTTGCAAGACAAGAGTGACATCGGGAAAATCCATTCCTCGGCCGATGACTGCCACTAATTAGAACATAATACCTATCTATAGCGAGAGATCATGGGGCCCATACCATCAGTAGCGAACATAAGACCACTCTTGGCTTGCCTGAATGCATCAGTGGCCTTGGTCCTGGCCGGCTGAGACAGCCGACTCTGCAGCTCGTAGACCTTGAGATGCGTCTGGGCCTCGAACACTTGAGCGTATAGAGCAACTAAGTTTGCGGTTGTCCCAAACACAATTATTTTTGAGTCTCCCTCGGTGGCGTTTAGTTCTTCTTTGATGAGGGAGAAGAGGGCCGGAAATGTATCCTCGACCTCAGGAATTACGATGGAGTACTGGGGGACTTTCTCTAGCGTCGGAGGTTCAGATGCCTCGATGCTAGTAAAGATTTCGGGGTCAGCGTTCGTTCATCGAGCAAGAAATTCAAATCTCAAGACACAAGTCCTAAAAGGAACCTTTCGCTCCCGAGACGTGTCTTGCGATAAAATCTCGATCCCGAAGAGGAAGATTTCTTCTCGAAGATACGTACGTAGAGATTGAGACATAATCTTCCTTCAGCACATTGGAGAGCACCTGTTGGATCTTGGGCGGAAGGGTGGCGGAGAAGCACATGCCCTGCCATTGCCCGTTCCTTTTAGATGGTAGAACGCGCAACACCTTAAGAATGTCTGGAAGGAATCCAGCATCCAGCATTCTATCAGCTTCATCTAAAATCAGCGTCTTCATTCCATCAAATTTCGCTCTCACATCCGATTCACTCAAGTAATCGTTAAGCCTTCCGGGTGTGGCGACTAGTATTTTGGGATCGCCGTTTCTGAATTTGCTCAGGTTGCTCGCCTTTGCTGTGCCTCCAAATGCTGTGTGAACTTGCAAAGGCATTCTCAACCTGGACACTAATCGTGAAGCCTCTGCTGCAATCTGAAGGGCTAGTTCTCGCGTTGGGGAAAGGATAAGTACAGCAACCTGCCCTCTACGTGGTGCCTCGATGATTGTATTCTGGATGGCCGGAAGCAGGAAAGCCGTCGTCTTGCCAGTCCCAGTCTTTGCTTGGACGAGACTATCCAAACCAGTCAGCTAGTATCCTTTTGAGATGACTGTCAATAGTCCACGAGAAAAGTGAGAGCAGGCATAAGCGCAAGGGGAGATTCTCACCAATCACTCTTCAGAGATGGCAATCCTGCCAAAACTTGACTTTGTACTGGTGTCATAAAGTCGAAGTTCATGTCTTTCAACGCTTGCAATAGCATCGGGTCTAGCTTGCCCTCCATCACACTATAGGGTTGCGCATTGGCAGCTTTGAGCGATGCGCTCGAATAGAGCGCGCCACTGGTTGACATTTTGGATGTTGATGTTGAAGAAGGATGGAAGAAATGAATGGGAGCAACACGAGTGAGTTTCCGGACTAGATACATTCAGAGGCGGCGTGACAACCTGAATTAAAAGCTGACTGAGGCTTGAGGCCCGTCGTGGAAGGAGCGAGAAAGATCAAGTCAAGCCTGAGACTCCGAAACGATTGCTCCCAACAGCATTAATCCCTTTGCACGCAACTGATCTATTGTGTGCTCAAGTGTTGTACGCCACATTTTATTACGAGCGTTCAAAAAAATGGCAATATGATTGCGGAGGATTCTTTGTTTAAATTTTTCGCGTTTTGGAGCTAGAGCCTAAGATAGAGCTCGACCCCCGCGGCTGCTTCCCGCTTGCCGCGCGCTCTCAATATCAGAATGGAGTTATACTTTACATTAGTCTTGTGGATTTTCCCACATCTCAGCAGCTCAGCATGACTGAGTACGAGGTTTGTGCTGATTGATACTCTCCATATACTTTTACTAATTGCCCAAAAGGGCTGTTATGTCTTCACGCCAGATGAGGCAGACATTGTCTCCCAACGACCATGGAAACGAAGGAAGACTGAGCCCGCCAAAGCACCAGCTGATCAGAATAGGGAGCTCCCATTTGCTCCCCTGTTGAAAGGTTTGGAGAAATTAGAAAGCACGCGCATTCGATCTGAGATGTTCGAGCTTGCTTGGCGCCCCAAGGAAACCCTCCTAAAGGTACATAGGTCTTCGTAGTGATGTTGAGAGTCTTAAAATGTTGATAGAAGTTAGCGAATCCATGACGACGCCAGTAGTGAGACGGTCAAAGAAGTAGCGTCATTTGTGAAAAGTGCAGATCCTGCAGAGTTGGTGTCGCCCATACTATTTGAGATTGTTCATTGACAAAGTACCAGATCAAATGGCAAGCTTCGTACAGGATTGCTCGTGACTGGACCAGACAACAGTACAACAGTATCTTTGTTTGAGTCTATAGCGGAAATTGCCAATCTGGAAAGCCGTACAGTCTTGGTGATCATGAATTCTGGGCAGAGTCCTAATCTGAAGACTGCCTTAAAGTATATCAACCAGCGTGCAGCATCTCGAAATCTTGACTCCCAAGATGACGCTATCTTTGATGATGCCAAAGTCAGCAAACGCTGCTCGCAATTGATGTCTTGAGTTGCTAATGCCAATAGGATGGCCGACGCCTGAATTACGACCTTCAGATCCTCAGTGACTATGTGCAAAGCCACTCAGTCGATAAGTTGCTACTCTCGTTTCAAGACAGCGAAGCTTTCGAAGGCAAATGTTTAACAGATATCGTCCATGTGCTCAGGTTAGTACAGCAGTGTTTTATGTGAAGGTTGCTGATGTGTAAAGCTCATGGAGCGACCGTATACCATTTGTGCTTCTCTTCGGTATTGCAACGTCTGTTGAGATTTTCCAAGAAAAACTGTCCAGAGAAGCCATCAGGTACTTGGATGGTTCAGCATTCCACGTTCAACAAGTCGACGTTGAAAATATCTTCAAGGCATTCCAATCCGAGCAGCCGACCGTGTGGGTAGGTCCAGAATTGAGCAGAATGATACTGCAGCGACAGAAAAATTACATACAGAGTCGCTCTACGTTCGTTAGTTCGCTGAAGGTAACAACGACTGTGCTCTCTTGTCTTTCTATCCATATTAACAATGCTTCTAGTACGCCTACATGACGCATTTCTTCGCCAATCCATTGAGCATCTTTCTCAACACAACTCAATCACTTGCTTCTAGTCAAACAGAGCATTATGAGGCTGTGCGAAACCTGCCGTCATTTCGAAGGTTTGTGGAAGTTGCAGCACCGCATGAATATGCGCAGAGTTAAAGACTTATCCAGATATGCACAAACTCTCATTGACCGGAAAGAATACGAAACACTTAGGACACTACTAGATGACAACGACAGTCTCGGAGATCTTGTCGTGCAGGAACTTCAGCCTGGTAAAAAAGCACTCCTAGCCATTGTTGGGGCAGTAAATGTGCTCTTTCGAATACAGACAAGTTTGACCCTCAGAACACAGACCCCATGGTCAGAGATGTACATTCGAGCCATGTGTGCCGAATTGGCCGAATTCGCAGCTTTCGAGGAGATCATGGCCTCTGTAAAAAAGCTGCCTTCAGATATCATGGCAGACCTGCTGGATGATTTGGCAGGGATGTCGGTCCCATACGAATTGGCCGAGATTATGGTGGAGCTTAACCGATTGACCGATCACTTGGAGGGTCCTAAAATCCCTCTACGAAGTGCATATGACGTCCATCACGAAACTCTCCGCACAACAGTCGTTGCGCAAAAGGTCTCTTTGAGCAAGAATACCTCGACTCTCTCAATGCAAGACAGTGCTTATACGAAGATCGTTGATCGCATCTATACCACCATTTTCAGTTACTTTGAAACTACCCTCATCAACCCTCAAGACTTGCTCCTGAACGAGATCCTCATCTTCGAATCCAAATCTCCACATCGAGAGGTCTTCACACCAAAGCCTCGTTTTGCAATCGAGCGGGCATTGGGTTCGCCACATGACTACCTTGGCTGTGATTGTTGCGGTGGATCCGAGGGCGGCTTGTCTGCTACACAGCCAGCTACGGCCATCATATATC